GATTCGCAACTAGCGAATAATTGTTGTTGTTGATTGTAAGCGTAATTTTAAGTGACCCTCTCCGACCTGCAAAACAATTCCCGATTCACAGTTCTACACTTTAAAGTTTTGTATGATTAAGTATGATTTAAAAACTAGTTGTGTGTTCACTACAAAAATGACTTGCGCATTTCTATACTGTAAAAAAACATAAAGAAAAAGTTTTAAATCTAGACAAATTATAATATCTTTCACATTATTTATCAGAAAAATGTTTTAATCCTTAAGAGTACCGTTGTAAATATGACATTGCCCTCTTTGCATGTAGGGTCCCACGCACCTATGACCCTTCACTAAAAGTAAATTCAACCTAAAGTCTGACCTCGTCAACCTTGTCGCACCGGCTAGTCCTAATGAGTGTCCGCTTTATTTACCCAATGTCCGGGTGATACAGTACAAACTGGGACTGGAAAGGTTGACCCGGATCGGAAATTTAAATGTACTACGACTGCCCGTGGTCCCTTTAAATTACGCTTACTGCAGTCCCTTTAAACTAGAAATATTGCACGTGCAAAAATCTAGATGTGAAGCGTATCATCTGAATATACTTTAGCCTCGTTAGTGCGATGATGCAAAAAATATATTTTCCTTGAAATATGGTGGTTTTATTGTCAGACATTAATACAGACCTAAGATGATTAACTAAATAAGTAGTTTAATGGATAGTTGCTCCAGATATATATTAGGAAATTATCTTCTGCAACAAATATTTTTCGCAACAAAAGTTTAAACATAAGTGTCACGTGACACGTCCAACAGTTTTCAAGTAACCATCTGATTCACAGAAGTACCATTGAAACCTTCGTCTTAGTAACAATTGAGAAGATATCCAGCTTGAAAAATATAATTTTCTTCATTGTTTTTTATTAAAAAGAGAAACCGCATGTAAAAATAATCCTTTTTAATAAAAAACAAGGATATCTCTCTTTTTCTTCAGACAAAGGTTGTGAATCGGACATGGACATCCAAATAAGGATGGCATGTCAACTCTTTAAGTTAACGGGTTTGTCCCGGGTTCTAGTTTTTGTACAAAGTAGATTCACCAACTTAGGGTAAAACGACCAAGGGTCACGTGCTATAGGGCCAAACGACATTGTGTCAACCGACATAGGGTCAAATGCCATTGGGCCAAACGTCATAGAGTCAAAAGTCTAGGGTCTAACGAGTAGCGACAAACAAACAAAAACTACTAAACCGCCTGGATTTCTCAAACAAAGCATGAATTGGAATAAATTTAATAAAGTTTTGAATGACATGAAAATAAATACGCCTATAGAACCAGTCGTTGATTTTTGTTAATCAAGATGCAACAAACTAATTGTCTTTAATACATTATCTATTTATACCAAAGAAATAAAAAATAAATACATTTAATGGGTAAAAACGCGATTGAAAGCGAAGGCTCTCTAATTCTTGAGACAGGATATTTTATTATCTATATTTTATATATATTTTATAATCCGGGTCGGAAATTCAAATGTACAACGGCTGCCCGTGATACCAAGGTTATAATGCAAGGAAAGTTATTTCATCAAGTACGCATCTTTTGTACTGCAGTGTACTGACTCTGTGCGGTAATGTAAACACAAGACGGATGTCAAAGCCTGA